TTACGACAAAATCAGGGCGAGTGGATAATGAGTTATAGAAGAGCTAATTCTGAATTTGCATTGAAATTACACTTTGGTAGGCTGGTGCAAAATTTGAAAATATTTTCGATACTGATGAAAAAGGCCAACAATTTCATCAAATTTGTTTGAAGTGACGCCATTTTCATCTCATTCTTGGAAAACATTCGACAATGTTCCATTCGGATGAATTGAAGAATATGGCATTATATCAAATAATTTGATCAAATTTGATGACATTATACACGGGCTTTTGTCAGTATAAAAAGTATTTCCACATGCAAATAATTGTTTCTACCAATCATATTATTAGAACGAAATTAATACAATTCAAGATAAGAGATGATAATACCACTATTGAAGCAATACATTTTTTGATATATTTTTATTCAATTTTATATCATCTTTACAAATAAAAATAATATTCATAAAAAATTATTAAAAATTCTAGTAGAAACTAAAACATTAGTTTTATGAGTATGGAGGATAAAGGCTTTTTCAGTTGTAAATTTTTTTAATAAATCTCGTTTTCGCATAATGGAATCAAATCATCACTATCTTCTCAAAAAGCTATCATTCATGTTGGGATATGATGCACGAACAGATTCTGAAAAGAAATAAACAGATATCAGCTGGAATGATTGTGAAAAAAATTACCTATTTTTTTCTCAATGTTTCAGAATTGTTATATTCATACACAGGGTGGACCATTTTAATCTATTATGGATAATATAGTTCTTTCCGGAAGCCGCTAACAAAAAAATGGTTTCCACAAAAGTTGAAGGGTTCAATGGAAACCAAATAATAGATCTACTCACAACCCTCCCCCCAGGCCCGCATACGAAGATGACTTTTTTTTTCAATGGGAACCCTACTTTTTCACAACGGATTCTTGTTTACGGTGAAAAAAAAATGTCTAGCAAATTTTTATTTGGGCACCAAATTTCTAATTTTGGTATATGAGTTGGAGAAAATTAGGCCTTCCTGCTAATCTACTTTGGCACTACTTTATGTTTTTAAGCAAACCCTCAATCTGGTTAACGAATTACATGAATGAAGTAAGATTCTTTGTTTTCTTCAACTCAAATACCAAAATTAGAAATTTGGGGCCCTTTAAGGGGCGCAAATAAAAATTTGCTGAACATTTTATTTTATTTTCTCCGTAGAACAAGAATCCGTTGTGAAAAAATTGGGTTCCCATCTCGGTTCCCATGGAAAAAAAATTCATATCCCAGGGCCGTATGGGTGCCCTGAGGTGGGTTGTGAGTAGGGCCATTCTTTGGCCCCCATTGAACCCTTCAACTTTTGTCAAAGCCATTTTTTTGTTAGCGGCTTCCGGAAAGAACTATTATATCCATAATATATTAAAATGGTCCACCCTGTATATATAGAGTATCCAGTAAACCATGCTTGGGTCATAATAGACAAGTTCCTAACATATCAGAAAACAACAACTTGACCTCAGTAAAAACCTCACGGTTTTCGAGATAAGTAGAGGTAGGTATTTGAAACAAGCTTTCATAAAGTCAGTAATATTAAATATGAATACCTATACCACAGATTAACAAACCTTAATCTGTGCCTATACCTACCATCAAAAACATGGAGGTAGAAAATGAAAACAAAAGAGCATCATGAATGTTGAAACATTTTTGACAATCTCTGTTTAGCATTTACAGGTTAGGTACCTATATCTGAGATGTTTGTTTACAAAATTGTGTTATAATGGTTGGTTAGAAGGAAGCACGATGAAAATATTTATAGGAAAAGTTTCCATGACGGTTATAATCATATATCGTAATTACGTCTATTGATATTTCACAATTTTTCTTCCACCTGTATCAAGTCTTAAATTATTTCTGGTTCATGAAAGAGTCACGATGATTAAGATAATGAAATATAATTCACTTACCGCCATTTCTGCTTAACTTTGATCTTCTTCAGAAGGGTTATTGAATTCCGAACATTCGATAGGTAATTTGTTAAGAAAATAAGAAAAAATCACACAGAGCACCAACACCAAAACTCATCACAACTCACTGGCAAAGACAAAACAAGATGGCAGAGAGGTGAAGAAGGAGAACAAAGAGACAATTATTGCGCTTGCGCATGCATCCGAATTGTATCACGTGATACATATAAGCTTAATGGAAACTTATGATAAATCTGTAGAGTGTTAACTTGTGGTAAATTGATAAAAATGATTTTACTATAAACTTTCACTAGTGAAGTTACATACTGAAAGTTTAACGCCAACTCTCATATCGAGGTGGTGGTAAGTTCATTTTTTTCAAGTTACAATAAGCTCATTTTTGAAAACTTTCTGAAAATCATCTTACAGGCAATTTTCGAATGGAAGTTGCAAATAACCAAATTTACAGTAAATTCTCATTTAACTCGCGAAGAAAGATTTCAATTGTGGAAGACTATCATACTTGCTGCAAATTGTTGTAAATTACAATGTTTAGTGGGTATACATATTGTTCCCGACATTTACAACCAATATTGCAATTTGAACATTCTCCCCATGTCGATTCTGAAGCGGTTATGCAACATTGTATTTTCAAGTTAAACGGCATATCGGTTGGATATTGTTTTAACAATATTTGAAACATTATATTCACCCATCTTGATTGATATCATTTTATCTATATCATGCGGAAGATATCGTATACAATTTGCTTCTTACATTCATAACCAATATCGCGATTTGAATATTGTCCCCATGTTGATTCTGAAGCGGTTGTGCAATATTGTATATTTGAGTTCGACGGCATATTGGTTGAATATTGTTTCAACAATATTCGAAATATCATATTCACCTATCTTGATTGATATCATTCTATCCATATCATGCGGAAGATATCGTATACATATTGTTTCCAACATTTATAACCAATATAGCAATTTGAACATTCTCCCCATGTCGATTCTGAAGGGGTTTTCAATGATTCAAATATGAATATCAATAACGGCAATTCAATATGTATCTTATATCGGACATAGAAGAGAAAAACAATATTGTATTTTCAAGTTCAATTGCATATCGGGTGAACAGTTTTCTAGCCATATTCAGAAAATAATATCATTTTATATTGGCTGATATGTGATTCACTATATCATGTTAGCAATATTGTTCACATATTGTTTTGAGAATACATATCGATATCGAAATCTCGATATTTATTCCATATTACGCACTCTTAAACCGATGTCGATAGATGGCGCTATAAATGATTGGTAACGTACTCTCATTGCCGATCCGACGAGAGAATTTAAATAATGGCTCTAGACGACTGTAAAGTATTATAACCTGGAGTAGGGGTTAACCGTGATCAACAAGGCGGCTTCCCCAGGGCAAGGCCCTCCGATTGCACTCCGGCTGGGCTGACCTTTGTGATTATTCCTGATGCGAATAACTCGCAGGTATTGGTATGAAAATATTCCACCAATATTTTGAAGACAACATAGCTACATAATGATTTTCAATAATGTACCAATATTTCCAACCAATATTGCACCAGTACATTTCGTGACCAATATAACTTCACGAATATATCAGCAATATTGGTATGAGAATATTCTACCAATATTTCTGAGACAACATACCTTCATGATAATTTCCAATGATTCACCGATATTTCCATATATTACACCAATATTGCCGAATGTTCACCATTAATTTCTCGCCAATATTGATATCACATTTTGTGTCCGATATTACTCTACGAATATTCAACCAATATTAATATGAGAATATTCTACCCACATTTGAAAACTGATATTGTACCAATATCGCCGAATGTTCACATTTTTTTTCTCGCCAATATTACTTTCACAATATTTTGCCGATATTTTCGTAATATTGCACCGATATTGTCCCAATATATGTGTGCTACTTGGGCTGTGCTAGTTTACTGTCACTGATAGATGCGAACTCTGCCTCCTCATTACAGAAGTTACGAAATAGAGGTATGCGTTTGATATTGAAATGTTATAGATATACACCAACAAAAACGATGCTTGAAGTTCTGAATTGGCTAACTGTGAAGGATCGCTTGTTTAATTTCTCAATAATACTTATTTTCAAAATTATTTCTGGTAATGCTCCCTTATACTTTTATCAATTCATCATAATCCAGCATCAAATTCATGATTATCCTACCAGAGGTAATAATAACCTGTATGTACTACGCCTTGATTACACTAGTTCAGGGAACTCTTTATTCCATAAAGGACTACTAGAGTACAATGACCTCCCAGATGAAAAAAACAAAGTGAATCTCTTAAAACATTTAGGAAATCCCTTGTTAGATATTTGAAAATGATATATCAATAAACCTCAGAGTCTTGTTTATTGTAGTCGATAGTATCGACAATAGTTATACATACTTATAATTCTTTCTTTTTCTTTGAATATACAATATTCTCTATTTCACTGTTTATTTTTGGTATCTTTGATATTCAATATGAACTTCATCTTTGCAATATACTATTATTTGAGACTTTACAATTTATATAAAAATTTGACGAATGTAGTTCGTATATTATTATGCCCTATTTGAATAAATGATTATTATTATTATACATATAGAGCGAGAAATTGTATGAATCAAGAGAAAATCTGTCCATTCTACGAAATCTGACTCTGAACGGCCCCCTCTGATATGTCACCTGATTTGGACCCGTATGAATGACTAGGAACGTTTTCAAAAATTAACAATGCAAGAAGCATTTCATGTAACAATTGGGTAAACAACGTTTTTACAGTATTTCGACCCCGCTGAATACGAATCTGCCTGTTGCCAAAGCGAAAAGCGAACCTTAGGTCAGTCCTATATCCAAGATGGCGGCCAAGATGGTGGTCAAAACTCTGTTGCCCCATATCTTCCATGTCCGTTCGCTTGTAATAATGCTTCGAACATTTGCTCAGGGGTTTTCTCAGATGCTTGGTACATTGAAGTGCTTCAAATTCGATTACCTCAAGTTTGGAGTGCATGGGCTTCAAGATGGCCGCCGAAGGAAGTGAAGAAAACGATCATTCCAGAGTCAAAACATTGTTTAAAACATAGATGAAAACGGTGACACAACTTGGTGCAAGTCATTACAACGCGTGTATCGGCCTCTTCACGTGTTGCTGCTAGGGGACTCACGTCGGATTCGGGATTGGTTGATCGCACGTCGTCTTCATGTATGAACCCTCCGAATAGAGCAACTTCGATGGCATCAAATACATGTTGGAGAACTTCCTGAGATAGGAAGCGGTCTAGGTCGGCCATGTTGTCTCCCAGTGCTAGAAAATTCTTCCATTTTTTTGGCAGTGGAATGGCTGCGCCTGTGATGTCCCTTCTGACTGAAACAGCTCCTCTGGTCCGTCTACAGTGGGTCCCACTTTTGATTGACTTGGGACGATACCGGTCGAAAAGAATGTCAACTCTGGCATACGATCTTCCGAGGTGAACTACCCTGTCAATTAATATTGCAGCGAGGTCTCCGAAAGTAGTGGCAGTTGCTGGTTTCCCTATGCTGTTTACTAATACTAATACGACCGTCTATAATCAGTTGCGAAGTATCTCGATCGATGTTAATGGAGTTTGGGCATTCCACACCTTCAGCAACGAGCTTTATCATCGATGCTGTTTCAGACGATCTGCGGGTGCCATCCATTTCCGCTAACGGTAAAGGTATTGGAAGAAGCTCGTGCTTCGAAATGGAAGGTAAGTCAATTTGTCTGCCTGCTTCGTAAGCTACATTTAGACGACGGTAAACATCCCTGTCAGCGTCCACAACCTTTTTTCGATCTTTAGTGTCCTTAACTTTGAAGAGGTCTGATAGAGTCATTTCGGAACCCACGCACTCCAGGCTTAGGGTAGGTGAGTAATTTCTGAGCATTTCAATATGATAGGCATCTGAGAGAACCACTGAGCTGTCATTTCAATCAATATCTTAAGCCAAGCGGAAATGAAGATATAGGGAAACAGAGGTTTGTAGGCTATCTTGGCCGCCATCTTGAATACCAGACTCTCCGTCCAAATTTTGTTTGGCAACAGGCAGATTCGTATCCAGCAGGATCGAATTACCTCAAAAACGTTGTTTCCTCAATTGTTACATGAAATGCTTCTTGCACTTTATAGAGATGGTTTTCCTGCTTATGGGCCTACACTATAACGCATGATGTTCTTCGAATAGGAATCTCCTTACGTGAGCTCCAAGAGATGAAATAAAAATCATCTATATAATCAGTTTTTCATAGACAACAAACATCTTTTTGAACAGTGCTGTGCGTTTTTATTGCTATAAAATAGGTTGATCTTTTATGAAATCATATCAAGAATTTTTCCGCAAAAAAACTAACTTCATATTATATTGTTATCATGCTTTCGAACCATCATATGCAAAAAATCACCTCATTCCAAATCGACAGGATTGTCGCAAATTTGTATCAACTCCTGTCTCGAAAAAATAGTGAATTTGAATCGACTGCAAATTCTGGAACCTGCAAAAGCTCTGGTAGGTAGAGATTAATGATGATTTGAAAGAAAAAAAACACGGTATACTTTTCATTGTTGAACCAACCGTCCCGAGTGGATAATCATTTACGTTCGAAAAATGCTAATTAGATGTGCCTGTTTTGTTGAAACCTTGATAGCAATTATATTCACATATGGGGTTTTGACAATGAATACTCCCAGATTTGATATTATGAACAAGAAAAATTATATACATATGAGGAAATATATTGAAATTTTGTAATGTGTACCTGACAAAAAATAATGATTGTTTGTTTCGGTATATTCAACAGAAAACAACTACAATGCTGGCGATATGCGACACAAAATAAGAAATTGAAAATAACATCTTCTGAAATTGAGAATTTGCATTTTCTTCCGAATTGAATATATTTATATAATATCTACTGAAAACAACTACGTGGCTATTTTCCACGTCGAACATTGAATTTCATTTGTTGAACAGCCAAGATGTGGATATGGTAATCATCTTCCTGAAATTGTTGATCGATATTCCCTTTCAAATCAGATGAATAATGAGATTTATAATGATAGGTATTGTTGTAATGTATATAAAGAATAACGAGTCAGTTGAACATGAACATCTTTATTATATGTTTGACTGACATTATCATTGTTTAACAACTTTGGCATTAGATTGACAAGCAATGGTAGAAGGATGATATTATATAATATAAACAGGGTGATAACAACAACACATAATATCATAACATTTTCCCCTTATAAGACAAAGTTATACAAAATTAACTCATATCAAACACAATAAACCTGGAAGGCATCTTACTAGCTCTAGGTGGCCTACCTCTTATATTTCCATTGTTGCAATTCCTAAACTGTACATGATCGTGAGTATTAGTGTCCAAACTCGTTTCAGGTTCTTTATCAACATTAGCTCTCGATGGAGAACCACTAATACTAGAACTAGAATGATTCGAACTTGACGTATCTGGCAATATTATAGACTCATTAGAACCTTCATGATTATCAGAAAAATCTTTGCTTGAAGACTTCCTCAAATCAGAACTATTTCTTCGCAAAATGTTTGAACCGGTCTGAATGAGATATGAACGGGGAGCTTGATCATATTTAGAAACAATTGTAGCTGGAACCCACAACTTATCTTTTCTATACACAACATGTTCCCCCTCTTGAAAGTCAGGTCTCTCTCTTACATGTCTATCGTAATACAATTTCGAAACTCTATTTTTTCTCTCTAACTCTTCTTTGAATGCTTCAGTTTCTGGGTTCTCAACTTCTAAAAGAGGCAGTTTTGTTTTAAGCTTTCTACCGAATAAAAGTTCAGCTGGTGATCTTTTCAGAGCAGTTAACGGAGTATTGCGGTATTCCATAAGTGCAATATTGAGATCTTTCGATTTCCTCAACATATTTTTGGCTGTTTGAACAGAACGTTCAGCAAGCCCATTTGATCTGGGGTAACGCGGACTACTGTATCTGAATTCAAAATCAAATTCTTTCGCAAACTCTCTACATTCATAAGAAGAATACGGCATGTTATCGGAAACTACAATATCTGGTATACCAAAATTTGCAAAGACTTGTTTAAATGCTTGAATAATATCAGAACTTTGTTTCGTTTTCAACGGCAAAACCTCTAACCACTTCGAAAGGTAGTCTACAATTATTAGATAATTTTCTCCTTGGAATTCAAGAATGTCTGAAGCTACTTTCTGAAACGGCAAAGCTGGTAGCTCATGAGATTTTAAAGGTTCCTTAATATTTGCATATCTGTATTTCTCACAGATAACGCAGAAATTGATTAATTTACCAATTTCATCAGACATTCCTGGCCAAAACAGAATATTACGTGCCCTATCCCTTGTTCTAGATATTCCAAAGTGTCCTTCATGCAACAATTCCAACATCGTTGACCTCAAAGCTCTGGGTACCACAATACGGTCCTTATAAAAAACTAAATTGTTATTGACATGAAGATCATTTTGTAAATCGTGAAAAATTTTCATTTCCCCTGTATATGATTTTCTCTTCCACCCATTCTGACAACAATCTATGACATTTCTCAAAATCTCGTCTTCTACAGTTAACTTTTGGAACTCTTTCTTTCTTGTTTCACTCATTCTAAGATGCTTTTCTACAGAGTGAACCATCTCAGTCATGTTTTCATCTATATCAGGTATTTCACTACAATAATTTCTTGATAAACAGTCAGCTATATACAAATACTTCCCGGGTACGTATTCAATTCTCAAATTATATTTTACTAATTTTATTTTCAACCGCTGAAGCCTTGGTGAGTGGATTTCAGAAATCTGCTTGGAAAGTATACTTACGTTAGGTTTGTGATCTGTCAAAATTTTAATATTTCTACCATATATAAAATTATGGAATTTCTGGGTGGCATATACAATACATAACAATTCTTTCTCAATAATAGCATAATGCTTTTCAGTATCAGTCAGACCCCTGGAGGCGTACGCTACTGGCCTACCCTCTTGCAATAGGCAACACCCAATACCGTTTTGAGAAGCATCAGTCTGTATCACGATTTCTTATGAAGAATCGAAATTCTTCAGAGTTGTATTTCTATTTATTTCGTTTTTAATAGTATCTAGAGCTCTTGCATGTACACCTAACCACTGAAATACAATGTCTTTCTTCAATAAATCGCACAATGGTCTAGATATTTCTCCCAACTTTGGAATAAACTTTCTGACATAATTCCAGTCCTAATAATTTTTGTAACTCTTTCTTACTACTAGGAGCTTTAAGCTCACTTATAGCTCTCACTTTCTCATCATCTATTCTCATACCATTTTTATCAAAAATGTGGCCAAGATATTTAACCTCTGTACATCTAAATTGTAACTTATTTTTATTGAACTTCACACCCTTTTCTCTAGCCCTATGGACCAATTTCTTCACAGTTTGATCATGTTCCTCCAGCGTATTTGCAGCAATGAGCAAGTCATCGAAATAAATTATCACATTTTCTATGTCACCAAAATTTTTCTCATTCACTCTCTGAAAATACTCTGGAGCCAAACTGATACCAAACGGCATTCTTAAAAATCTGTAACACCCGAAGGGCGTGGAAAAAGTTGTGAGTTTACTAGATTCATCATCCAGTTTCACTTGGTAGAATCCATCTTTGAAGTCGAAGACAGAAAAATATTGTTAAGAGGCTAGCTTGGCAGTTATGTTTTCAATGCTAGGGATTTCGAAAAACTCTCTTTCTATACATTTATTAAGCTCCTGCGGATCTTAACACAAACGTAACGTTTTATTCGGCTTTTCCACAACAACCAAAGTATTCACCCAATCACTAGCTCCTTCAACTTTCGCAATAATTTTCTGCTTCTCTAGACTTTTTAACTTTTCTTCAAGTCTATCTTTTATTACAAGGGGCAGCCTTCTGGCTGGTCTTGCAACCGGAATGCTATCTTTCTTCAATCTGATTTTGCAAATATCTTTAAACGTACCTAGGCCCTCAAAAATATCACTATTCGTTTTAACAAATGTCTCTTTGTCATTTATACCGATAGAATCATTTTTTGTTATCAAACCTAACTGGTAGCAAGTTGGTAAACCTATAATTGGCCTCGATTTGACATCTACGACTAGAAATTCTATATCTAAATACTTATCACCTATTTTACATGGAAAACTTATTTTTCCTAAGGTATGAATTTTTCCTCCTCCATATGATTCTAGAACTACTCCAGTTTTCTGAAATTTATACTTATCATCAATATTAACTTCCTCAAATACTGACTTTGGCAATATATTCACTTCCGATCCTGTATCGATTTTGAATTTCACCTTCCTCTTGTTCACTTGTATAACTTCTGACCAAATTGAATGATTTTCATTCGTCAGCTCTCCAATGGTCACCACACTGTCAACAAAGAAATCTGAATCCTCATCTTCTTGTGTTTGCTGGTGATTTATTTCCTCAACTCCTTTCATGAGACAGGCACTGCTGGAGTGATTCTCTTTGCCACACTTGTAACACTTCTGGCCAAAAGCAGGACATTCTCCATACTTGTGTTTTTCTTTGCACTTTTTGCACTGGAACTTCTTTCCATCCTCTTTCCTTTCGAAACTCTTCTTCTCTTTTGGAAAATATTGCTGCCTTTCAAATCTCCTGACATTTCTTGTTCTATTTATAGCATCTATGCTCACTTCATCCTTACTTCTGACTGCTTGTAACTGCTTCTTTGTGGCTTCGCTGTTTCTGCATATATCGGTCGCATTTTCCAATGTTAGATTCTGAACATTCAGCAATTTTTCTTGGACTTTCGGATCATTTGTCCCCAGAATTATTCTGTCCACCACAATAGAGTCTTCCTGTAAGTCGTATTCACAGGACTGTACCATCTTCTTCAAATCACTGAGAAAATGGTCAAACGGTTCATCTGTGCTTTGGTTACGACTATTGAAAACAAATCTTTCGTATGTTCTGTTTTTCCTTGGAGCACAATATTTTTCGAATTCCCCAATAACCGCGTCAAACTTTTCCTTTTCGGATACTGGCAAGAACTTGAAAGTATTGAAAATTTCTACACCTTCTGCACCTATGATATTCAGTAGCATTGCAATTCTTATCTTGTCTGATTTCGAATCTTTCTCAGTAGCAATCAGATACATTTGAAAATTCTGGATGAATCTTTTGAAGTTTTCATTGAGATTTCCTTCAAATCTCATAGGGTCCGGCAATCTACCCCCGCTTTCCATCTTGTATGGGCCTAGTTATTTTAACCTGACTATTTATTTGCTTCTTACGATTTTCGTGGAGCTCGTTCTTCTAAGACTGCGCCATGTTGTAATGTATATAAAGAATAACGAGTCAGTTGAACATGAACATCTTTATTATATGTTTGACTGACATTATCATTGTTTAACAACTTTGGCATTAGATTGACAAGCAATGGTAGAAGGATGATATTATATAATATAAACAGGGTGATAACAACAACACATAATATCATAACAGGTATAAAAATATAACTCAGCAGTAAATTCAGTTTTGAAATGGAAATATTGGGGCTAGAAACCATGAGAGCAATATTATGAGGTTAAATTCCCCTGTTAAAAATTTCCCTATAATGATTTCATAAAAAAGATATTCCTCTACATTACAATAAAAACGGGAGGAATGAGCAACTTCCATCACTCAACAATGAATTAAAGAAGAAATGTGAATTGCTTAGGCGCGATTTTGTCAGAATCCAGGAAACTAAGTTCTCAATCTCATTTTTGTTTTTGATTTGCTCGTAATTACTGAAAATCCAAGTTGAGTGTCTAAATAAGAGTTTGAACACATCAATTGAATCAATGACCTATTTCTATCATCAGGCAAAGTACGTTGAGAAATGTTACTTGATGATGAAGAAGAAAATTTGGTGAGTTGAAGAAGGTGAGTGCCTAAAGGGTATCGAATTCCTCGAATGGAAATAATCATCATGACAGGAGATTGAAGCAACAGATGTATGGAGAAGTAGTGTGCATGAAACCACCTCAACCTATTTGCGAAGAAGTAATTACCCATTGCATAAAATGTTTATGGCCAAAAGGATTCGTTCACTTCAAATTCAATGGTCCTATTTCTCATCCACTCGTGAAAAGCAAATTGTGGATGGGCAAAAGATTAGTTGCCTATTTTACACTGATGTATGCAAGTATCCCAAGCAGGATTCATATGTTTCTCTCTCTGAAGAAAGAATGTTCGGAAAAACATTATCTTTCTGATGAACTGATGGATTATTAATCAACTACTCGACATTTGAGCATACACTAATGTTAAAACTTCCAAGCATACAGTCTCACTCAACTGCTTATATGTGCTCATCATCACCTCTGAATCAATCATTTTCACGATTTCCTATTCTAGTTTTGAAAACGTATTACCTAATTATTTATTCGATTTAATTAACACAAACCTACATTAATATGAGCCTGAGTCTTCATAAATAGGCGTTTCCCTATATCATGGGAAAACACTGGAAAGAGACGATCATAACCTTGTGACAGTCTCCTAGTCTTGCCACATTCATGTGAGCACAGATAGGAGATATAAAGATATGTCACATAATTATGTCATTTTGAAGTCATAAATAGTAGTTGATTATAAATTTAATTTGAAATTTGTTCTAATTCACTTCAGATTTAAATTGAGAATACAATTGTTGATTGTTTTTTATGTTTGTGAGTTTTGTAAGTATCGATTGTGCACATATATCCATCACCATGTTTATATATAATAATGAAAAAAATTCATGTCAACGTCACGGGGATTCATTATGTTCAGCAGTGTATTTCTCTCGAGCATTGTATAATTCATCATGGCTTTCATGGGCATCGAACAATAACATGGGCGTAGATAGCGAATGCGCTGTAGAAAATTGTGCCCATGAAGATCAAAATCGCTGACACGGAATAAGCTAACTGATTCTGTTAGCCTTAAACTATGCCAAAAGGCCAAGCATCCCTATAGTTGGGTCATCAATGTCTATTCATGAACAAAACTATAAGAACATTCAATGTTACCTGTTGTCCATGAGTATATTCGACGCCAGCAACTAAACAGGTTGCTGCCGAGCTCAGTCTTTCCAGTCCATGAGTTGTCGAACCATCTTCGAGTATTGGAGGATCGTCTTCTTCTTCATCTTCGTCGATGCTCTCTGATATTTCGTTGCTTGTTGAAGGAGTGATGGGAACTGAAAATTGGAATGAAACGAATGTATACATTTTCATCATCATTATCCAACTGTACGTAGCATTGTAACAAATGAGGGAGAGTCAAATTCCAGAATTCCTATAGAACCCTATTCACGTCTTCGTTCATCAATTCCAGAATTATTGAACCACCAACTTCCGATGAGTGAGTGAAAATAAACACAGGCGTGGCATAGAGACTCCAACCCACCAGGAATATCCACCTGACTTCCTCACGGTCACGTTTACGAAAATATAGATAGATCATATAGAAGGTGTGAGGAAGCCAGCGCAGGCATAATTCAATCATTTGATTCAATCAATCATAGTTGATTCATTATTGATTTGATCATTTGCTATTATGTGCCGAACCGTCGGAGTTTGGGACAGAACAGAAGATGCTCAAGGCTACCAGTAATCATAGCTCGTGATGTACATGCAAGATCAGCAAACTTTCATTATTTATTGTTATTCATTATTCTCTTTCTGAAGTTTATTTTCTGACTGATCTAGAGCACAACTTAGGCAACCCCTGCCTATATTTTGAGACAGTATACCCAATGAGAAAGATTAGTTCATAGGAACGTTTCGAGAATACCAGGTGTTCTGAATGAACATGGATATGTCGGCGTTCAACAGTGAAATCCGTCAATCTCTAGAATGCCGAGTCATTTTACATATTGCCGGCAAACAGTGTAACTCTAAATTTCGTACACCGTTTGCCTGATAGTTTCAGGCATTCCCTGTAATGACGGAAGGAACGTTCAATTAGGCCGAATCAGCTTAGGTTGTTAAGAAGCAGTAGTCTCTTCTGTTCTGTCAAGTGATTTTCTTAAAAATATGCTTTCTAGGAAGGAGGTTCATTTAGGCGGAGTTTGTTTATATTTTGTTTAGGGAAAATAGTCTTCCTTCTTATGCATATGCAGAAAGGATATTTTCGTTCCTCAACTCTCCGGCAAACAGAGTAACGACTGAAAATGGAAGTTACGCTGTTACGCTGTTTGCCGACAATCTTAGGGAGATTATTTCTGCAACGGGTCGCAGTAGAATGATGACATTTCAGATGTTTACATATTCTTCAAAACTAAGTTCGAATAATGTGAACAAAATTGTGAATTTTGATTTGATGACTAGCATATTAGTGAACATAGTCAGCTCAGAGCACTTCGATAACAAGAAAATACTATATATCGATTCAGGCACATCCGGAACCCACAATCGCGGTATATCATGCATCTGCATATTATATGCATGCACAAAATTAAAAAAATTACTTCTCGATAGAGCTCTTTGTGAACGCTTCATACAATGAGTTTCTTGCAAACATGTAGATGCCATCAATGATGGGTTGACCGTCAAAATTGTATCAATCAATCTTCCGCATCAAAATTGGTACTTGAGATTCGTGGGTTCTAGATGGAGGTATAGGTATGTAAATTGATTGTTTCGTAGTAGAATTCCTCTACTACTTCAGTCGCTCTTGAGATCTAGCCTAAAGGTAAATGTATGAGGTGAATGCACAGGGTGGATGTCAAAATGCTGCATTCCAGGAGGTATAGTTCTTTTGATAACGAGTTTGATAACTTAATTTTGAAATCATATTCCTGAAAAATCTGTCGTCACTTTATAGAAAAACAAAATTGAGAATTGTTAGACTTCTTCGTGAGAAATGTACTTCCATTTGACTTCGATAAAATGACTAGTTAAAGACGGAAATCAATGATATGATATTGTCTATCAATTAACGACAACGTGAAACATTTATTTTTCTAAATAATTATTGGTATTTTCGCTCATCGTCACCATGAATGGAAATATCTTGTAGTAATCCAACATTTTCAACATGAAAATGTAAAATTATTCTAGAGATGGATCTGTTCGCTTCAGTCTTCCTCAAATAATAATAATAATAATAAAAATGAACGCTTTCATTGATAGATATGAAGAACAAATAATACACTACAGTTGAGGAGGAGAAAAGTATATCCATCAAATAGCGAATTCAGCTCTTGAACATTTCCACTAAGAAAGGAATGAGAAAGTGTTTTCTTCCACCCAACCTTCTCAAAATAAAACCAAAATGTACAATACACATAAGTATTTTGAATATTATAATGACAAATTTGGTACCAGTAAGCCTGCGAAGGTCCGGACGTACGATCAGTTATCGAAAATTTTGAATGAAAATATACTGTCTGTAGGTTAATCAATGAGGTGGTACATTCATTTCACTTGATTTTTTGGGATTTTCTCTCCTCGTTTCTATAAAATGAAAATATGCGTATTATTTCAATATATTTGTAGTAGGACAAATCAGATGATGATTTGCCCCAAAATGTCAGTGCGTTCAACAAATTTTTCTATCAGGGAGCCTAAAAGAAAAATCCAGTAGCTTGTCAGTGACACTTTGTTTGAAAAAAATGTTTGGAGGAAAGAAATATAGATATATTGAAAAAATATCGAATTTTCAATTATCTTTGGACGTTTCGGGAACGAATCTGTTTCATGAAACATGAAAAAAGAAAATATTTTTCTTTGGAAGTTGTGCTCTGCTTATGTTGGCATATGAATGAGTGATTTTAGTTCACAAATGAGCTACAGGATGTTTTCATTAATTGATCTTGAATCTACCATTTTCATGTTCAGTTTTGAGTAGTGAATAACATGTTCCATCTATATCACCTGAAAAGGAAGCAATGGTACTGTTTCCGTTCAGAATAAGAATCTAAGCGGATTCCTTGATTCTTCTTTGGTTGTTATCTTCCTTTCCTATGATTTTGATATTATTCCTCTCTGCCATATGTTGTCCATCTTCAGTAAGGATACGTTCAGTTAGCTTCGATTTATCGATATGTCTTTTCTTGATATTGTACTTGTGTTCATTAGTCCTTACTGAGAGAGGTCTTTTCGTTTCACCTGTGTAATACTTTCCACAAACACAAGGTATACTATAAATACAATTTCTTGATGATTGTTCTTCATTTTTTGGCTTTGTTTGAGTTAGAATGGACATCCGACGAATATCCCTAAGAAACATTCGAAGGATGTCCCTGAGGTACATTTCGATTGTTATACAATCCTGGAAATATGAAGGGCGTCTGTGCATGGATATTTGAAGGAATGTACCATCAGGGACATATCATGGTTGTCTAGAAGCCATCTTGTGGCATAGCTCTGAGGTAGGATACAGAGATATCGCGACATACACTGTATGGCGCTGCCATCTATAGTCACACGTACAGACCCCTACGACTTCAACATGACTACAACTTCATGTTATACCCTGCGTCTTCGAAATGGGTGATATACCCGAAGCGTAGAGTTTGTAGCGTTTAATTTTCCACACTTTAGATTATTATAGTTGTACATTTCATTACAGACATTTCCAGATAATTTACAAAGAGAATAAAATTATTTGTGTGAGTATTCAATTAATTTAATCTATCAGAATATTTGACTACAGTAATGAAATCAAGTTGACATTAATTTTGAAGATATTTCTGGTGTCTATTTTCTCAACAAATCATGAAATACCAGAGTCGAACATGTAAACCTAGACAACTACGCATTCATTGTTCGTGTATAGTTGGTTGCCTACCCAGCAGAAATTCAAATAAACCTAGTGTGTTGGAAATATAAATACTCAACAATAATAATTATCACGTTTAATTATAAATCTAGTACAAACCTGTTAAAAAAAAAATGAAGGAAGGAAACACTCAAATGAATTAGCGCAAATTGAGCATTCTATTTCTTTCAATATTCTTCTGGAATCAACTGATATGTATTCTCTTTGGTTTCGTTTGTTCTTTATTTTGGAAGCACATAGACACTGGAAAATCACTATTGGAATTTGTTGAGTACGTGTTTCAAACGATAAATGTTGCTTGATTTTTGATTTGATTTTCCTAAAAAAATAAACAAATGAAATAAGTAACGTACAGTTAATTAATGAATTATAAGTGCACTACTCACCTTTCATCCATACCTTTTTAGAGGCTGGTGAAGAAACTCACTTAGTCATAATATTGATGAAATATCATCTTGAATTTTCCAATGTATTTTCCACTATGATTTTGGGGTTTTCAATTCCAAATTATTATCGACCAGAAATTCTCTTATCAGTCTTATTGTGTCGAACTGTCGAAGTTGTCAACGAAGTCAAAGATGACTCCACCCATTTCGTCCGATTTTGGAAATCAGACGTTGCCACACTGCTACCTAAGAAATCCTGAAGAATCATCAAGTTCGGTACAATTTAGTGTAGATAGAGTTGGAATAGAATGATAACAAGCTTTCTTGATTGGCTAGTTTAGTGTTTCGATCAATGGAACAGTCCTAGATATTGCACTTTCAAGCACTGGATTTTTCTTGGGTGGGGACTAGAAGAACCGACCATATGAAACCTTCTAGAATGTTCCTGCAATGATGACAGGGTTTCCGTTTCCGGAAAACACCATAAAAGTCTTTGGAAAGCCGGTCGCTAATCACTTGTAGCCCTATAAGTCAAAGTGCTCACATCACGAGTGATCTTGATTTTTTGTTGAATTTGGTGAGTGAGTGTTGATGTCGCCTCTGGATTTGGGAATTAGCCCTTTTGGACTTCAACTCTACTGATCACCACCATTCGAGCCGACTTGGGAAGCCTTCGATTTGGTATAAGGCTCTTGGACTTCAGATTCCTGGACCTCTGGATCCACAACGTGTTCCAGCTTCCAGCATCCTGTGATTCATAATACCCTTCTAGGAAGGTTAGTTTGTTGAGATTCTTTCATAATCAGAGTCATCTATATATCGAAATTCTGGTAGTCACATTCATAAGAAAACCGGTATTTTTTATTAGGGTACCTAACCGGTATTTTTTTTTTGTTTCTATTATAGGGTATTTGGGACATAGATAGAGACTATCAATTCCTGTTTCTGAATTCGTTTTATTGGCGTCCACTGCACTGAGTCATGAATTGGTTAGGTTTTCTTCGATGTTTGTGGTCACCACCACATG